GCGCAAAACCATTTGACATCTCTTCATATCGCAATTGTGCTGGAGTACTAATTAATCCATCGTAGTTTACTGACACCCTCGTGTGAGCTCTACGAACATCTCTTCTCCATCTTCGCAATATATACCTATCCGGAATATGTGTAACGTCATTTCAAATCAGCACTGCAATTGCATGCCTGCAAACTATTCCCTGAAACTCAAACAAATGGCAGCTACAAACAATCTCACATTTATCTTGCACGAATGAGACGTGGAACGTTTTTCTCTTATGACCACCTTCATACATAATAGTCTCTCGTACATCGAATGTCATACATGTAGATTCTGCAGATGTAGACATGATATCACAATAAACCTTTCCCGTGAACTCTTGCTGAACTTCCCTGAATTTGGCAATGGTATAGACTGTCTGATACTGTTGCTCCATTTCAAACTGTGTTGCACACGGCTCCATTTGTGAGAATGATTTGAAATCAGCTTGGAACTCCTTCTCAACCTTATTTCTCAAGGCACGTTCGTACTGTTCGACAAATTCCTTCAATGAGGTCTTTAAATGAACATAACCATCAAAGAAAGCATTCATACTCTCACTTCTCTGCGTGGTTCACATCCCTGCCCAAAAAGTGGTTTTCAAAAGCAAGGAACCCAACGTCCTCTATTTTCGTATAATCCCGAAAGCCAATCATTTTCATCCGAGCCTTACCTATCAATCATTGATGTCCAACCGTCTTCAAATTCTTCACGGAACTGTGAATCATACACCAATCCATGTATAGCACCGAATATTGAATCCTTATCCATGTGGTATCCAAACTTCTCTGGTAGCTTCTTCAAAATATGCCACAAATACCATCTATGCTTCGAATTTGGAAAAACAATCGCAATCGCATTTTCCATGGCCTTATCTTGATCCGTAATTATTCCATGTGGAGCTTCACCATGCATGCACTGAAGCCATGTTCTGAATAACCACACAAAAGTATCAGTGTCTTCACTCGATACCAAACCACAACCAAACAGTGTTGATTATCCATGATGATTGACACCAACAAATGGGGCGAAAGGCATGTCATACTTATTTGTGAGATACGTGGTATCAAATGTAACTACATCGCCAAACTCCTTGTATGCCTGCCTATAATGGTAATCTGCCCAAAATACATGTGCTTGCATTTTTGAAAAATATGCCTGTATTGCTGCAGCATCTCCTTCTCCAAGTCGCAGTCTCCTGACTTGTTTTATATAGTTCTTGCAATCCTTTTCAATGCAAGTAAT